GTGTTGATGTTTTAACTAGGAGTGTGACGATATATCGCAATACTTTCTCGCGCGATCGATTATCAATATGCAATTGTCAAGTATCAATTTTGAAAAAAATCAATACTTGATATATGGCTACATTACACATCTCCATTCCATTCATCATGAAATAAAGTGTATTTTTTCACTTAACATTTTTCTATTTTATGTATGCCATATATTGGCATATGGTATATTTCTGACCAATATATTGATAATCATCATATCGTGATATAATCGTTATTGTGATATAATCGTTATTGTGATATAATCGTTATTGTGATATAATCGTCATTGTGATATAATCGTTATTGTGATATAATCGTCATTGTGATATAATCGTCATTGTGATATAATCGTTATTGTGATATAATCGTCATTGTGATATAATCGTTATTGTGATATAATCGTTATTGTGATATAATTGTCATTTTGATATAATCGTTATTGTGATATAATCGTTATTGTGATATAATCGTTATTGTGATATAATCGTTATTGTGAGCTTTGTATCGCGTATCGTATCGTATCGTGAGGTACCCTGAGGTTCCCACCCCTAGTTTTAACAATAAGAAGATGGGATGATTATTAAGAAAATCTAACTTCAGAGGCTACTCCACCTCTGCTACTGTGACCCGTCCTGCTCCACCCAGAGGCCACTCCACCTCTGCTACTGTGACCCGCCCTGCTCCACCCAGAGGCTACTCCACCTCTGCTACTGTGACCCGCCCTGCTCCACCCAGAGGCTACTCCACTTCTGCTACTGTGACCCGTCCTGCTCCACCCAGAGGCTACTCCACTTCTGCTACTGTGACCCGCCCTGCTCCACCCAGAGGCTACTCCACCCAGAGGCTACTCCACCTCAGCTGCTGTGACCCGTCCTGCTCCACCCAGAGGCTACTCCACCTCTGCTGCTGTGACCCGTCCTGCTCCACCCAGGGACCTCTCCATCTTTGCTGCTGTGACCTGAAGGCCTGTGTCTGATTAATACTATTATTAGCTTTTTAGAATGATCAATTATATTTTTACTGCTACTGGACACCTGAATTTCTCCTACGGGGGATCAATAAAGTATCTGTCTATTTATCTTCAGGGGTCAAAGCCCTGCAAACTTCAAAACTGATTTGACGTGTTTTTGACTGTCACTTTGACATAAGCGAGGCTATTAATCTGTGCCATTGGACCCTCCAACATCACCCATCATTCACTCACACACCAGACTTATAAAAGGCAATGTGGGTGAAGTGTCTTGCCTATAGACACAATGGCAGTTTGGCACTTCAAAACTGTCCCACATTGGTACCTGTCTTCTTTCACAGTATAACGTTTAAATAGAAGGAAGGAGAGTTTTTGAGAAAGTAGTTCAAGTTGCCATTATAAACTTATGTTTCTTCTTTGCCTTGGGTACCATGACATGTTAGTGTCAAGTACAGGTGGAAATAGAGTTAACACGTGAAATCAACTGAAATACTTGATCTGATATATTCTTTTTTTCAAATAGTATTGTCTAATCCAATCAAACAAAGCTTGGATTTATGGATATATGTTGCGCGCTTATCAGTAAGCTGGTTTGAACAAATATGTGAATTTCACACCCAATCCATTAACATCATGACCAAGGAAACAGATACTTCAGCAGGAGTTAAATCAAGCATATGTCATATGTTCTCTATTGCAGCCCAAATCATGCAGCCTGATTTAGTCACAAAAGGAAAAACACACAGCGGTAAAAGTCTAATTAAGCACGAGTGAATTGACTTGTCTCAAAGCAGTTCTGTCCAGGGTGACTCGTGTGATGTCCTGCTGCCCTGCGCTTGATTCATGCATTCATTTTCTGCAGCTTATCCTTATTCAGGGTCAGGCCGGCTGGCACCTGTCCCAGTTGACTGAGTGTGAGGGGCACAGAGGAGGCGGGGGGCACACAGACAATGGACAATTAATCGAGAGGCTGACACTGTGGGTACAGCCAAACTCAAGGCTGAACCTGGGCCGCCCCTATCAGTACGAGCAGAGCGCCAATCTGGACTTTAGTGAAGGCAGGCTGAGAAAAAAGGATTCTCAACTAAAAGAAGAAAAGAATTTGTTGTTGCCATACCTCCTGACAGTATTTAGGATTTCAGTTGAGACTTAGGCTGATGACGTCTTACTTCATGAACGTATTACCTTAAATCTGGGGTACCTAACTTTCAAACCACAAAAAAATAAGATAAAAATGAAATAATAATGGCAATGTAATTAAAATCAATGTAACTTTTTCCTGATTCTGATTCTACCTCTAGTTTCACATGCATGTACTGTTGGCCTCTGTCACATCTGTACTGTAGATAAATGCTTTTAGATTGGACCGTTTTCAGAGGAACCACCCTCACACTCACCCTCAGCCTCAGTACCAGATAGTGACTCACGGGCCTCTTTCTCACTAGCATGCAAGAGATAACATATTGTCTAAAAAGATGAAGAAGCATGTTGTGGTCTGACTAATACGCATTTGCTATTAAACTTTTACTAGAGTTTTTATTGGGAAAAAACAACATGGATTATTTATGAGAAAAGGTTAAGGGCAACAGCTTCCTTTGCCAGCTTTCCTGACTCAATTTCTTGTCAAGAACTAAGAAGTCCTGCAACATATCACAACTTATTTAGCCAGGTCAGACAGTTTCCGGGTTCAGCATGAGGACGTTGAATGGTTTCACATGACTTAAAGGCAAGACATTCACATTAGCACAGAAGAAAATCTGAAATCAGCCTGGATGCTTCAGTCTGTGTTTAGCTCAGTTTTGTTGCTGTGGGTTAATTTAGGTCAGTGTGCACAGTAAGTTCATGGTGATGGCATTTAAACTCACACCAAGAGCATCGTTAGCTGTCGCCGAGGGCTTTCTGGGAAACTGATTTGTTTCTAGTTCAGTGCTTTGAGAAGATGACGTTTTAAATTGGCTCGATTTATTCATAAATGATCTGAATAAAACAACATAGTGTGTCTGAGTAAATGGACAATAAAAAGAGGATTTGCTTTCTAGTTTGGGAATTAATCTCTTATGCATTTTCCCGACTGTCAAACAGAGCAACAGACCTGTCAATAGGCAGAGGACCATGGATCAGGAACAATGAGCCTGGTCAGGGGAATTATTTAAAATACTTAACACTTAATAATTTACAAATGGAGAAAAAGGTACAAATGTTTTTTGGTTTTTTTTTTTGTGTGAGACAGGAGTCTCTTTCTTGGTTAAAAGAACAAAATGCAACAGTCACAGATCTGTGACTGACTGAGGTGACAATAAAACAGTGTGTACTTGTGTGTTGCAATTGTGTGAACGCATCAGTTCCAGGAAGCTGAACTGAACCAAACGGAACAGGATGGTGACCCACCTGTAGGCCCTTTATTAACCCTGGGGGTTGGCCCAATGCTATTATTCATGTATTATTCATATTTTTTAGTGCAGGCTATGTCTGTGCCCTTAGTTTTGCCTTTAGTTCTAGCTGGGCATATTGAAGTTTAGCCCCGGTCTATATATAGTAAGCTTTTTGTTCCTGAAGAAAAGCGAGGCATATTTTTTTCCTTTTTCTGTTTAAGAAAAACTGTGACAAGCAAGGAAAAGGCAGAGCATGCAAATATCTCTTTACAAAAGGATGAACCAGAAGGGTTGTGAACTTTTCTGCTTTGATGTTGTAGAGTACACAATAATCCATCCAATATTTGAGATTTAATTAGCACTGTGAGGCTGAAATTGACTCTGGCCAATACAACTGTACCTAAAATCTCAGAACAGCATAATGCACCCTGAAAGCGATTTCTGCAGTACTGCTTGATTGCCAAACAGGGATGAGAGCAGAATTTATCTTTTATTTGGCCAAGGGCTTGCATTGTGCTGCGTTCCGCCTGCTGTGACTGCAATAAGTCAATTTGAAATAACTCAAATCTTAAAACACACTGTCCCTCAAGGTGTAGATGTGTAAATACATAGTTAGTTATATGACAATATTTAGAAACGCACAACTACACAGAAAACACAGTAATTCTCACAAGACAAGACGAACGCACACGGGGTGGCCACCTGCACAGTAACTGGATGCCATACATCATATTCAGGACAGATGGTCATTTGAGAGCAATTAACCACATGGCTAATAAAATGCAGCGCTGTTTTATGCCAGAATGGAGAGAGATTTCATAGTCGCTCGATCGAAACTTATTTTGCGGGCACAAAAAGCTGTTGCTACACTTCCAACTGATGGTGCGTATATTTTAGCTGTAAAATATGTTTCTGAACAGCAGCTGGGTATCACAACATGGAAACTAATATTTATATTGTAAATACAGTCACTGTGCATGAAGCGACTTATCAGTGGTTCTCAAACTTTCCGAGAAAAGCCTGAACCAGGAATAAACCCATCTGAACCAGAACCAATTAGAACATAGGACATGCAATTTTGTTTTATCATTCAAGATGACGATTGTTACAGTAATACCAGAAAGCCCTATTAATATTCCAATATAATAAATAATCCAATAAACCTAATCCTAACAAAATCAAATAATATTCCCGGCCCTACCCTGAAACTAGTTGGAAATCTGATTTTTCTTTTATAAATGTATTAAATGGTTTGCCTTGTGAGTTAAGATCCAAGTGCAGTAGATAGCAGGCCTATAAAGCAGGCCTAAACCAAAAACATCTATGTTACAGTTAACAAATATTATCATGAACATAATCAAGCCAAAAGCAATACCAATCGTGAACCAACCCTCGGCACTTTGTCCTTTCAAGTAAACTCACAAACATACTTTATTTCAGTTTTTCTTTGTGAAAAGTTGGAAACAGCGAGGGAGCCTTATCACAGTTTGAGAACCACTGCTTTGTACACACAAACACAGACAGAGGAGAAAAGAAAGTCAATATCTTTTCTCCTCTTCCACAGATTGTTAGAAAATTTACCTCTCATGCCGCGCAGTGGAAATGGATTTTGGAGTAGGGGGGCAACGGTCATACCTCACATTCCCTGGAGCCTGAGATGGTGTACGTGTACGGTCCTGTCCCGTTAACCAACACGTCCATAGTCTCTGAGTGGGACGGCTTGTAGTCCACATAGTACTCTTGCAGCGGTGAGTTTAGGGAACGCTCCGTCTCCCTTGTCTTTTTCTGCCGCTTGTTCACTGCTGCCGAACGCTGCTGGAGTTGTTTGATACTACTGGGATACCGCTTCCAAGAGACATAGATAACAAGGAGAATGATAGCCACGGATAGGAGCAGGGCCACGCTGCCAGCTATGATCTTGTGGAAGGACACAAACTCACTATCTGGTAATGGGACAGTTGGGGAGGCCTTGGAGCGGATGGGGGTAGAAGTGGTGGGGATAGTGGACGGGGCTGTCCTGTTGGCAATGGGCGTATTATTCACGATCGGTTGAGTTGGGAGAGGTTTCAGCTGGGGTTTAAATGTGGATTTGACTGTGGTGGTTGTGGTGGGGATAGGGCTTGGAGTGGGCCTGCAAATATTATATGTCTCCACAATATCGCTGACTTTCTCGCCTTGGGATTCCTTTGGGCTGGCACAAATCATTGCGGTTTCCTTGTTACCCTTGAAGGCCTTCAACCAAGCCGCAAGAGGGCAAATGTTGGGGTTGCAATGCCAGAGATTCCCAGCCAGACTTATCGTAGTGAGGGAGATCCATGTGTCTACAGTCTGTTGTGAAATGTTGATCAGTTTGTTTGAATCCAAGTTAAGAGTTTGCAGATTGGGCAGGCATTGGAAAGTGCTCGGGTCCAGGTCTTCCAGTTCATTTCCGGACACGTCCAGCTTTTGCAAGGAAGTCCACATCCACGGTGGGCCCTGGGTGAGCATTCTGATCCGATTCCATTGTATGTAAAGCGCCCTCAAGTTGGTCAGCCTTGGAAAGTGTGCCAAATTTATTTTGGAAAACTGATTGTGTTCCAGGTGCAGTTCAACTAACTTAAGGAGTCCTGCAAAAGCATTCCTTGTCAAACTGCGAAGTCTGTTGTAGCCAATATCAAGAAATTCCAAGTTGCGACACTCAAGGAACACTTTCATAGGTACAGACTTTAATGAATTGGACCGTAAGTGTAAGCTCAATAGTTTTCTTAAGCCCACAAACTGACTGGGCTGGAGAACTTGGAGCTTATTATACGAAAGGTCAAGGTTGCGCAAATTGGAGACATCATGAAACGTGTTATTTTGCAGAAGCGTGATTTTATTGGAGCTCAAGATGAGTTCTTTGAGTCTTCGTATGCCATGGAAAGCCTGTCCATCCACAGTGGCGATGTAGTTGTGGTCAAGATAGAGCCACACGAGTTGGCTCAGTCCTGCAAACTGGTGCGACCGCAGGCTCATGAGGCTGTTGTAGCGGAGGGACAGCCCTTGTGTGGTGACAGAGACATTCCTGGGCACGTCTCGAAAAGCATTGGACTCGCAGTAGATTATTTTCCCATCGCATCTGCAGCTCAGGGGGCAAGGGCGCTCCCGGGGGCCACTGGGGGCAGCAAACAGCCAAGCGGGCATAGCCATGATGAACACAAGCCATCTGAATAGCACCGCCAGCCCTACACACACACACACACACACACACACACACACATGCACACGCACACACACACATACATACACACACACACACACAAGAGAGAGAGAGAGAGAGAGAAAACTAATTTAGTGAACATCAATATGAACCAGCATTCATAAAGCAATGCAAGTAAGGTGAACAGGAAATATTATATTACATAAATATTTATATATGGCTGTGAGGCGCCATCTGCATGCTGCCCGTGACAAATACACACTTGAATGTTATCACAAAGTCGTGTTCTTGAGACATGGCAGTCGCTAAGTGATAACCCGGAGCATCAGACGTGATTTGTCAGAGTTGGAGGGGAGGAAAACCGCCTGAAGTCATTACTCAATATCCGCAGGGGGCAAACACCAAAACGTGGAGTTTTTTCCAAGTTCATCTAATCGGGAAATCAGCCAAGACTTCAAACAATCCCATTGCACTTACCCATATTGGCACCGTGTCTTCCCCGCCTCTGCTGCTTCACGGCTGGCTGTTGCATGCGTCCCGGGTCCACATGTTAGAAGCACTCCCCGTGTCCAGATAGTTGGACATGGGCACAGGCAGGACGTGTGTGGGCAGTGAAGAACGGCTGCAGCCCGGGTCTCCCCTTTGCGCACAGCCACGCACCTGTCGGAGATGGAAGTATAGCTCCAGAAGGTGTGCGTTTACCGTTATGCCTTTAGTTTCCGCGGGCGACGCACTGCAAAGACACGCTGCATATTTTAGCCAGTCACTTTGTCACAGGAAGCTCAAGGTTTACTCCTCTTCCAAATTGGCTGAAAGCAGTGAGAGCCCACGCGGTGCCAATTGTTGAATCTGCACTGACTGTGAGAATGTTGAAAGCTTTCAAGTGCAGAGGTAGAAAGTGGTCCTGAGCGTGAGGAGAAGTTGGCTGAGTCCACGCCTGAGAGCTGAGGGGCTGGAAGGAACGGCGCAGTCTTCAGTGGATTACACCGGTTGACCGCGGCATCAAGAATAAATCAGTTGTACTATAGCAACAGGAAAGATGCTGGTGTGGGATTATGCGTTTATGCGCTGTGGCCTGTTCCCAGAGCCCGTGCGCCCTCTGCTGGACGTCCCGGGACACTGCGACGTGAGGCCACGCGACCTGCGCGAGCAAAGAGCGTGTTCACACTGGATATAATAAGCCCAAACTTTATCATCATTGTCATCATGCATAAAATCTTGATACTTGGGGAAAAGCACGTTTCATACACTTACGAAAAAGAAGAAGAAAAAATAGCTGTTTCAACCTCCACGGGTTTTCTTTGATTATAAAGTTAAAAGATACAGACTACAGATACATAATTTATGATCTACTTCTACTTGCACTGTATTATTTAACTTTAAAGTATGGTGAATGCAATGACTTATCTGAGTAAGCCTGTAGTTAATAAGCCTATTGTTACTAAGCCTCTTGGCAGTAAACTACACGTAGGCTGTTTACTTTCCAACAGGGACTTATGCTTCAGTGACTTTCTCCTATTCTGCTCTTTGAGTTTGTCACAATGAAGTGTGATGTAATATTTATGTCTAAAGAAATTAGCCTAATGCATCAGAAACTCCTGACTGACATGATTCAAGAAGCACTACAACAAATGGTATTTTTATGTTGGCATGTATTCTTAAGCCATCAAATCTATAAAGATAAAACAAAGAGTTACACACTGCCAATCATCCGATGTTCATAACTTTTGCATAAAGGGTGCTCTTAAGATCACATAATGGGCTTTAAGTCGAGATCAAAGTCATCACTCCTAATGACTCCCTCAGCCCCCTTCTGAATGAGCAACATAATTACCACTAATATCCATCAATGAACATTTTAGCCTCAATCTAAGGACTAGGACTGTGACAGAAATGAGAGAACAGCCATAAACAGATTCCCAAGTGCATCGACAGCACATACTGATGCGGTCGCTATTAGATCAATGGGCTAACAGGAGGTGAAGGACGGAGCAGGTCACAAAACACCAGGTATTTGAACTGGAATTTCTGCATAAGAACTCAAGTACTGCCACGACATAAACTCACACATTCAGTCATTTACCTGTGAGCATTAATCAAACATGTATAGATATGCGACAATAAAATATAATCCTTTTAACTTTCTTCCAATACAATGAAAATCATATTTACCATCTCCACCTACAACATGTCAGAATCAGAATCAATGTATTTGTCATTTGCAGAAAAAAACTACATTGGAATACAAACAGGAGACACCGGGGGCACCAACACAACAAAGCACACACACAAACAGAATAAAAATAGCGAGACTCAGTGAGGCAAATATAAAACTCTTAAAAGCATTATTAAGACGCTACGAAGGAGCTACAAGAGAAGCAGATATCAGGGCGCTCTGTTCAGTCTTATAACTGCCTGAGGAAAGAAGCTATTCGCATGGCTATTGGGTCTATACTTAGTGCACTTGTATGTAGTAGTAATTTTATGAAATGTTATGTAGATTTTAATATTTCTTTTGATGCATTCTATTTTTACTTTTATAACATGTTTGCACCGAGTGCCATAATAATGTCCAAGTAACTTCCTGTTACTCACAATGATAATAACAATAAATCTGATTCTGATTCTTCTATTTAGAAGGGGCCAAAGTATGTAATGGTCCATGATTCAATAACAAAGGACTGTGCTGACACTTTAAGACAATTGACAAATTTAATTCACTTCATACCTGGCAGACTACTGTTGTAGCCACACCTGCCATGGGACGGACTGGCAGAAGTTAGGCTTCTAATCTTTGCCATCTGCCCCTTTGACAACCAACCATTCTCACACACATAGACTAAGCAATGTGGGTAATGTTTCTAGCCCAAGAACACAGATGGAACTTGTGGCTCTGGGAACACAGACAGGAACATCTGGAGACAATACTTTTCTTTCTGGAACACTTTGATGCACTGGCCCCACATTGGATTGCACCAAGTCCCTGTGGAAATATGCCATGTCCTACTTTTACAGAATCCTGTATCCGTGATTCTTGATATCAGTGACAGGTATAAAATAACGCATAGCAAAATGTGTGCTTGAATAATTTAGTGATTTACAGCAGCTCGGTGGTGGATTTGATGTTTTGGCGGGCGCACATGCCTGTGTTGTCCTGGAGAGTTTGGTGCTGCATTTGTTGGCATCTCGCAACATTGACTAATATTATTAAACATACATAACAATCGTTCAGTATGGTGATTGTTCTAGCCTCACACTCTATGTAGTCCAAACCCGAGCCAGTTTCCTTGTGGGTGTGTGGGCAGAAGCACCAGCACTCATTTCCCTCATTATTAAAAAAACAGAAATTGAACACAATATTTTCTCTGTCTGGGAGGAGTTCGGAGAGTCCATGGAGCATGACTATCGGTCGGCCTCGAAGAGATTCTGGCAAACTGTCCGGCGCCTCAGGAGGGGGAAGCAGTTCTTTGCCAACACCGTGTACGGTGCGGGGGGTGAGCTGCTGACCTCGACCGGGGATATTGTCGGACGGTGGAAGGAATACTTCGAGGTTCTCCTCAATCCCCCCGTCACGCCCTCCGCTCCGGAGGCAGAGGCTGAGGATGTTGGGGCGGATACTTCTGTCACCCTGGCAGAGGTCACCAAGGTGGTTGGCAGCCTCCTTGGTGGCAAGGCGCCGGGAGTGGATGAGATCCGTCCTGACTATCTAAAGTCTCTGGATGTTGTAGGACTGTCTTGGCAGACATGTCTCTGCAACATCGCGTGGCGATCGGGGGCGGTGCCAATGGAGTGGCAGACCGGGGTGGTGGTTCCTCTCTACAAGAAGGGGGACCGGAGGGTGTGTTCCAATTATTGTGGGATCACACTCCTCAGCCTCCCTGGTAAGGTTTACTCCAAGGTACTGGAGAGGAGGTTACGGCCGATGGTCGAATCTCGGATTCAGGAGGAGCAGTGTGGTTTTCGTCTCGGCCGTGGAACACTGGACCAGCTCTACACTCTCCATCGGATACTCGAGGGTTCATGGGAGTTCGCCCAACCTGTCCACATGTGCTTTGTGGATCTGGAGAAGGCGTTCGACCGTGTTCCCCGGGGTGTCCTTTGGGGGGTCCTCCGTGAGTACGGGGTCCGGGGTCCTCTGCTGAGGGCTGTTCGGTCCCTGTATGACCGGAGCCAGAGCTGCGTGCGCATTGCCGGCAGTAAGTCAGACCTGTTCCCTGTGCACGTTGGCCTCCGCCAGGGCTGCCCTTTGTCACCGGTTCTGTTCACTGTATTCATGGACAGAATTTCTAGGCGCAGCCAAGGGTCGGAGGGGGTCCGGTTCGGGGACCACAGGATTTAATCTCTGCTGTTTGCAGACGATGTTGTCCTGTTGGCTCCAACGAACCAGGACCTACAACATGCACTGGGACGGTTTGCAGCCGAGTGTGAAGCGGCTGGGATGAGAATCAGCACCTCCAAATCTGAGGCCATGGTGCTCGACCGGAAAAAGGTGCCTTGCCCTCTCCAGGTGGGTGGAGAGGCCCTTCCTCAAGTGGAGGAGTTCAAGTATCTCGGGGTCTTGTTCACGAGTGAGGGAAGGATGGAGCGTGAGATTGACAGGCGGATCGGTGCAGCGTGCGCAGTGATGCGGTCGCTGTATCGGACCGTTGTGGTGAAGAGGGAGCTGAGCCGAAAGGCAAAGCTCTCAATTTACCGGTCAATCTTCGTTCCCTCCCTCTCCTATGGTCATGAGCTTTGGGTAATGACCGAAAGAACAAGATCGCGGATACAAGCGGTCGAAATGAGCTTCCTCCGCAGAGTGGCTGGGCGCTCCCTTAGAGATAGGGTGAGGAGCTCAGTCACACGGGAGGAGCTCGGAGTAGAGCCGCTGCTACTCCACGTCGAGAGGAACCAGTTGAGGTGGCTCGGGCATCTGTTCCGGATGCCTCCTGGACGCCTCCCTGGGGAGGTGTTCCGGGCACGTCCCACCGGGAGGAGGCCCCGGGGAAGA